TTGGGCACGATAAATGCTGCGCAATGTGAAGAAGGTCACACGCAGGCTTCACCTGTGCTGTAAAATTTTTTACAGCGTCAGGCCGCCCGCGCCGAAAGTCGCACCCCTGTTGTAGGGCTTTGTAGAGGGGTGTGAGAAGAGCGAACTCAGAGCACAGCCGCATTAAAGATGTGGTTGTCTGTCTCTCTCTGCAACATACAGCTTCGCCGCGTAAGGAGAGAACCTCTTTGACGTCAGGCCAAGATTTTGGGTCCAAGTGATGCTGCAAAAGCAAGCTGAAAAACCTCAGTGCTGCCAAGCTCAGCCAGAGTCAAGGGTCCCCTCAACTCAACTACCCCCATTCTGCAGGCAAAGCACATCCTGGCACACCAGAACGTCGCGGCGAAGACAATCGATGTGCCGAATGGCTCAGTGATCAACCACACCATGAAGCTACCGAAATGAACCTCAAGCAGATCCGAGAGTGCCACCACCGCAGCGGCATTTCTAACATTACTGTTGTGTACTCTTCATGTCATTTGCCTCCCACATCACGACTTATACCTTACAAGCTTCCTCAACCCCTCGCATTCCCAAAGGTGACCTCCTGGAACGCCCCATAGCCCGGCAAGCTGCGGATATCGGCAAACAAGTAAGCACAGTTCAATTCGCATGTGGAGTCCAAAACGGCCGAGTAGCCAGGACCATTCCCAGTAGCACCCCCACAATGCAACCAATAAATCCGTACATCGTGAGAAGTGTCAGGACCATTGATACTGCAAGGCCCTGGCCAGCTGCTCGAAATTAGTTCATGCTTTCCACTGCAAAAAAAGATCAAGACCTGCTGGCTCAAAATTCCGCTCACAAACTTCCTACAGCCATGGGGCTGCTATGATAAGAGCCGAGAGGTAATGCAACCTCAGTAGTTTAAGACAGCACCATTGCCACTGGAAGCAAACAAATGCCGGAACAAAACACTGGTGTTGCCGAGCCACAAAGAATGCGTTATCAGACCCAGAGGGACAACCATGACCCAGGCCACTGCCGCGGATGCCAACTGACAGAGTGAGGGGCTTCTTGCGTTCAGCAAAGGGATTTGGCTACTCCCGGTTCCGCGGCTCCCACTGTGGCGTCATGGTGGAGATTCTTCAATCAAGGTCTTTCCATGGCGCTTCCCGACTTGCTGAGTCGCGCTCTTTGTACAGTGCCTGGCCCCCGAGCGTGTTTTTCGTTTCCGGGTGGAAAGTCCCGTGCTCGGTGGCCGCAAATAAAGCTGCCAAGCTATTCGGCAGTTTGTGTGGCGAGGTCTCATTCCGAATATGTTGGGCTTTTTTCCGACACTTGAGCCGCTGTGCTCCCGCTACAGTACCGTGCATGTTGGGGTGCTTGTTTGCACCTCCGAAAAACGCACTCTTGCCAGTCTTCGCGGATCCCCATCGTGCTCCCACTGTGTGGAGCGCATTTGGGCTCTCGTACGAATTCTTGGGAGCTTCATCGTGGGTATACAGGGGCTTAAAAAGTGCTGGGTGTGTTTTGCAAGGTGTTTGCGGCCCACACTTGCAGAATGCGAGTGACATGATGTGATATGATATGTGCTGCCTGATGCCGTCGGAATTGACCTCCATCTAACCTCAGCTCCTTTATGTTGCATCCATGCTGCCCCATGCTTCAGCGCGACAGTTGGTCCCTTCATGGTCCAGTCCTAAGCAATGCATCCCCCGTCCCACGGCTGCAACATGGTGCAGCTACTTTGCGGTGAGTATCGTAGGCGATGGCCACGGAAGCTATTGCTGCAGGTATGGCATACGTAGCCACAATTGGCAGCACCGATCCGGCGTGACTGAAAAGATACGGCAGCGAGAAGCCGACTGCGACCAAGCCAAGAAGGACGAGGAGATCTCCACCAGAATACCTTGGGCACATACTGCAAACATAGGCAAACGAATCAGACAAACTCTGATGCGTGCTCAGCTATGCAACTTCGGGGGGCATTTTGCCCAGTGCGCCCAGCAGTTTCGGCTCCGGCGGTGTCGGGGCCACCGTGGGGGTATACTGCATAGTGAAAGTCTGCCCAGGCTTCATTCCAGCAGGAATCTTAGCCTGTACCTCAGCATTTCAGGACAGGTTAGGCATGCAATCTCACGGTCTGCAGCAGAGTCTCACTTGCCGCTGAATGACAATCGTGCCGTCCGGACTCTGGGCTTGTAATTCCTGTCCTGGCTTCATTCCCGGAGGGATTATCACGTTGAGACTCGTCATGGATTTTGGCGCCATCGCGAATTTGCTTTCCACGTGTACCCAAGACGGGTTGAGTGCCGGAGGAATGTGGCTGCTCCAATTTGACTAGACTCTTGCCACTTGCTGCTCTGAAGGTGCGGACATACTTTGTTGACAACCCCGGTTCACTGGCCCAACTGAAGACGTTTTTGAAGAATGCTGAAGCTGCCAAGCATAGGGCACGGGTTGGGCACATGTATACCAAACACCCACCGGCCGCCGAACATGCACCATAATCAAGACTCCAGCAGGTTAATGCAGGGCCAGGGCAGCTCATGTGCATCGCAAGCACGCTTGCAGTTTTTTCGCTGTTCGGGCAGCAGCACATCACTCCCGTGCTGGTCCCAAGCCACTGCACTCTGGCAGTTGCGCCCAACCCCGGACATAGTAACTCCTTTGACTTGTACGGTCAAGTGCATGCTCATGAGCGGCCCTCATCTACGTGCTCAGGTGCTATGGCATGTGCAACCGTGACTCCATGAGGCCACGTGCAAAACCTGAAGGACTCCTTGAAGCAACATGCTTAAGAAAATGCTACTAAGAGCAACTCTCAGAAAAGTTTTCTATGATGGCCCCAGCTTTGCTGTTGCGCGCAATTCCCAGTACGTCCGTACTTTCCTGGCAACATAACGCATGACTTCAAACGTTGGACTTCACAGCAAGCTTCTGCGCACAAGAAAAAATGCAGTCCTTCACGAGAAACCTTGCAGCTTGCCGGCATATGCCTAAGACTCGGAGCAAACTGCTTGCCGAGCATGCACTGGCGGGTTTGGGGGGCCGTCGGAGTGTCACGAAAAACATGCATTCATGTTCAGGTTGTTTGCTTGTGATTCTGGAGCCGCAACACAACATGTATCTCAGCATGTCTCTCCGGAATTCGGGCACCGAACGCCGGACTCTAGAAAGAGATACTGAAGACTGCTGTCTTCTGTGGAGCCACGCATCGTCGGGCTCGCATGCAAACGGCAGATGCTACTGAAGCTCACTGGAAACCTTTTTTGAACCTGGGGCGCTCTCATGTGCCAGGAGCGAGAAATAGCTAGGATTTCAATTTGAGCTTGCACGAACAAGCTCCTCGAGACTCTTGTTATCAGTTTCATCTCGGAAGTTTCTTAGCTTAAGAAAACGCCGTCTCATTCATGCTTTCTCAATGGCTCGTCGCATTGAAGGAGACATCCCTTCATCGGGGTCGGGGCGTGGGAATGGTTGTTGGTTTCCACAATGGCAAGCTGCGGTATTGGTGCGGGCTTGAAATATTAAATGCATGCATAGTGAGAGAGAGAGAGATGTATATTATGCACTACATTCATTACATGTGTATATTTCTATATATGTGTGTGTCTGCATGTCGTCTGTATGTCTGCAATGTCTGTATGTCTGTATGTACGTAC